AGGCCCGTGGGCACTACACCATCGGCAAGGAGATCATCGATCTCGTCTTGGACAGAATTCGCAAGCTGGTAAACACCATGAATATGTGTTTAAAATGGGGGTTCTAGTGCAGTTAAGTGTAGTGCTAAAATGTGGAGTAGGTTATTCTCTATATTAACTGGACTTCTAAGCCCCCTGGGTTATGGGATGATTTTTGGATGTGTTTTTATCAGTATTTCATGCTTACATCTAAAATGGACTGTGATTTTAGGAAAAAGAGGAGAAGGGATTATGTGTAGTCAGAAAGGGTGCTTTCTTGGTTTCCCACCCTCCCTCCTTCTGTCTTTCCTGCAAGTGCATGCACCCAAGAGCAAGTTTTTTTTAAAAAAATGTGTCCTAACATTAAATTTTCTTTTTTCTTTCTCTACAGGCTGACCAGTGCACAGGTCTGCAGGGCTTCTTGGTTTTCCACAGCTTTGGTGGGGGAACTGGTTCTGGCTTCACCTCCCTGCTGATGGAGCGGCTCTCAGTGGATTATGGCAAGAAGTCCAAGCTGGAGTTCTCCATCTACCCAGCCCCCCAGGTCTCCACGGCTGTCGTTGAGCCCTACAACTCCATCCTCACCACCCACACCACCCTGGAGCACTCTGACTGTGCCTTCATGGTAGACAACGAGGCCATCTATGACATCTGTTGTAGAAACCTCGACATTGAACACCCAACCTACACTAACCTGAATAGGTTGATAGGTCATATTGTGTCTTCCATCACTGCTTCTCTTAGATTTGATGGAGCCTTGAATGTCGATCTGACAGAATTCCAGACCAACCTGGTGCCCTATCCCCGCATCCACTTCCCTCTGGCCACATATGCCCCTGTCATCTCTGCTGAGAAAGCCTACCATGAACAGCTTTCTGTAGCAGAGATCACCAATGCTTGCTTTGAGCCTGCCAACCAGATGGTGAAATGCGACCCTCGCCATGGTAAATACATGGCTTGTTGCCTGTTGTACCGTGGCGATGTGGTTCCCAAAGATGTCAATGCTGCCATTGCCACCATCAAGACCAAGCGCACCATCCAGTTTGTGGATTGGTGCCCCACTGGCTTCAAGGTTGGCATTAACTACCAGCCTCCCACTGTGGTGCCTGGGGGAGACCTGGCCAAGGTGCAGCGTGCTGTGTGCATGCTGAGCAACACCACAGCTGTAGCTGAGGCCTGGGCTCGCCTGGACCACAAGTTTGACCTGATGTATGCCAAGCGTGCCTTCGTTCACTGGTACGTAGGTGAGGGGATGGAGGAAGGAGAGTTTTCTGAGGCCCGAGAGGACATGGCTGCCCTTGAGAAGGATTATGAGGAGGTTGGTGTGGATTCTGTTGAAGGAGAAGGTGAGGAAGAAGGGGAGGAATACTAATTACCATTCCTGTCAGCCCTGCAGCATGTCACACTCCCAGAATTTCAGCTCCAACATTAGCTGACCAGCATTAAAGCTTTCTGGTTAGACTGTCTTCACTCAACTATGATCATGTTTTACATTTCCTTGTGTACCTGTGAAATTTTTTTCATTATGTCTCAGAAGTAAAGGCTTTAAAAAAAGGTTTGTCTCTTGTGCTTTTTCTAAGACTGCCTTGAATTCTTCAAAAAAAATTCATCTGCATACTCTCCAACCTGGAAATAACAAGGACCCCCACTTCCTGCCTAGATAGCTGTAGTCTGTTAACCTTTTCAGAGAGGGCTTAGAAAGGTGATTTCAAGTTTTTAAGATTTTTGCCATAGGATACATGTGCTTTTTTGAAAGGCAGAAACAGGAAGTGAGAAATTACTTCCAAGGGGGATATAACCGCACTACAATCCCTTCATTTTCCTCTCGGGATTTTGGGCACACATGCACATGTGAGTTTGCAGCTACCGGGTACAGGACTCAAACTGGTCAGTCATGTGGGAATCTATCCAGCAAGTAACCATTATGCCATCTATTCCCACGTAATTTTTTTGGAGAGGATTTTGCTACAGGGTGTGTGCGCTGGCCAGAGAGACAGAAAGCATGAAATCACCCCCCCAGGGGGGATGGCCACGCCGCAATCCCTTCTCCATTCTCTCCGGATCTTGAGCAGGTACGCACATGTGCCCGGCGTGAGGTTAAGCCACCATGTCCAGGACTTGAACCGCGGTTGACTACGTGGGAGTCCAGTGACATAGTCATTACACTAACTGCTGGTCCCTCCCACATAATTTTTTAAAAGCACTTTCTGAGTGAAAAAAAACAGCACCCCAAAGAGGGTCTGTGCTGTGATTCACCAAGCTAGCACTTTAACGGACTGCTTCCCTGTAGGCAGGGTCTGCATTACAGAGCATTCCATTTTACCACAATTCATTCATGTTGGTGTGGCATAGAGGTTAAGGCTCGGATTCCCTCATGGTCAATTGCATTTTGAGTACCAGACCATTGGCTTGAACGTGGCTTGAACACCATGCTGGGTACATGTGCATGCATGCTCAAAATCCAGAGAGGAAAAATGAAGGGGTTGTAGTATGGCCATTGCCCTGGAGGGTGATTTCTCACTTCTTGTCACTCTCAAGAGTGCAAGTACCCTATAGAAAAAATCTCCAAAGTAGAAAAGATTGGGGCCAGCATATGGCTTAGTAGTTAAAGTGCTGGACTCCCACATGACTGACTGCATTTCTAGTTCCAGATCTGGAGGCTTGAAAATCATCAGGTGTGTGTGCATGTGTGTCCCAAATCCTGAGGAGAGAATGGGAGAAAGGACAGTGATATGGCCACCCCCTCTTGGGGGTGAGTTCTCACCTCTCTGGCAAGCACACATACCCTATGGCAAAAACCTTACAAAAACTGGGACCAGCAGGTGGTGTAGCAGGAATATGGATGATTTCTTTGTCTCTGTCTCTGTGTCCAGCAAGTGCATGTGCCCTAAGGCAGAAACTTTATTTAAAAAATAAAGTAAGGGATCAGCAGGTGGTATGGTGGTTAAAGGCACTGGATTTCCACATGACCAACCACTGTCCTGGACCTGGAGGCTTGCTTTCTCTCTCTCTCTCTCTCTCTCTCTCTCTCTCTCTCTCTCTCTCTCGTCAAATTGAAAATAATAACAAATGAAATTAAATAAATGAATAATTATTTTTTTAAAAAGTAGGAGAGGGGACCAGCAGTTAGTGTAATGGCTATGTCGCTGAACTCCCATGTAGTCAACTGCGGTTCACATCCTGGACCCCGTGGCTTAAACTCATGCCGGGTGCGTGTGCATACGTGCCCAAGATCCCAAGAGAATGGAGGAGAAGGGATTGGGGAGTGACCATTACCCCCTGGGGTTGGGGGGTGATTTCTCACTTTCTGTCTCTGTATCTCTTTGTGTCTGTCTGGCAAGTGCATGCGCCCTATAGCAAAAAAAGAACTCTTAAAAAAAAAAGCTAAAAAAATATATAAATAAAAGTAGGAAAGGAACCAACAGGTAGCGTGGTGGTTAAGGGTGCTGGACTCCTACATGGCCAATCGTAGTTTGAATCCCAGAGCTGGCAACTTTCTTTCTCACTTTCCCTCTCTCTCTGTCCCTCTCTAGTCAAATTTAAATGGATGAATAAATAAATAAATTTAAATTTAAATAATTCTTTTAAAAAGGAAGGATTGGGAGCAGCAATTTGCACAGTGGCTGTGTTGCTGGACTCCTATGTAGTCAACCACGGCTTGAGTCCGGGACCTGGTGGTTTAAGCTCATGCCAAGTGTGTGTGCATGCATGCCCAAGATCCTGAGAGGAGAATGGAGAAGAGGGGATTGCAGTGTGGCCATCCCCCCTGGGGAGTGATTTCTCGCTTTCTGTCTCTCTGTCTTTCTAGCGAGCACACACACCCTATAGCAAAAACCTCTCAAAAAAAAAAAAAAAAAGGAAAGATTACCATTCTCCTAGTACTTTTTTCCTTAGCACATAAATTTTACAAATTGGCAAAAGGCAAAATCATTGTTTTGACACAAGAATGCAGGCATGCGGGGGTGATTAGGCCCAGCACCCACAGCTGGACTTGATTCATTCAGTTTCAGCTCCTGAAGGAAACAGGCATTTCAGAGAAAGAGCTCTGGTGGGTAGTACTGCAGGCCTAACACAGCAACACAAATTTCATAGGCCCCAGGTAAAGGCAGATACCAGGGTTTTAAACCACTGAGGGGACCCTAAGCTGATTTAGTGACCAGGAGAGGATTAAATCAGTCCATGCTAAACTCAGGAAGCCCTTGAGTGGTGTCTATAAACGTTTGTCCTTTAAAACATTCATGTCTTTTTTTTTTTTTTCCCCCCTGGAAAATGAGCTAAAAGGTAGCTAGGTCAGAAGCTGGGAAGCAGCAGCTTGCTTTCCAAGAAAGTAACCTGGATGGCCTGAAATCAAGGAAGCACACATTCAGTGCAGAGTAAGTGCCATGACGCTTTTGCAGAGTTCTGTAGCACAAAGTTGTCAGGAACAGGGTTAAGAAGCCAAGGTTTCAGGGACTAGCAGGTGATGTGGTGGTGAAGGTGCTGGACACTCCCATATGGTCAACCAGGGTTTGCGTCCCAGACCTGGTAGCTTGCTTTCTCACTTTTTCTCTCTCTCTCTCTCTCTGTGTCTTTCTCTGTCAAATTAAAATAAATGAATGAATAAATACATTTTTAACCTAAAAAGCCAAGGTTCAACTTTATTTAATATTTTGGTTTGGTATACTTTTGTTTTTTCGTGGAGGAAAAAGTATTTTTAAGACAATGGAGATTTGGGGCCCAGTAGGTGGGGTACAGTGTCATAGGGCACTGGACTCCCACATAGTCAACTGCAATTTTTTTTTTTTTGAGAGGTTTTCACTATAGGGCACATGCACTCGCCAGACAGACAGAGAGAGACATAGAGACAGAAAGTGAGAAATCATCCCCCAGGGGGGATGGTCACGCCGCAATCCCTTCTCCTCCATTCTCCTCTCGGGATCTTGGGCACGCACGCACATGCGCCCGGCGTGAGTTTTAAGCCACTGGGTCCGGGACGTGAACCACGGTCGACTACGTGGAGGTCCAACAACATAGCCATTACACTAACTGCTGGTTCCCAAGTCAACTGCAATTTAAGTCCCATACCCAGTGGCTTAAAACTCGCGCCAAGGATGTGTGAATGTGTGCCCAAAACCCTGAGAGGAGAATAGAGAAGAGAGGATAGGGCAGCATTGGCGTGCCCTCTGGGGGGTGATTTCTCACTTTCTCTCATGTGCACATACCCTATAGCAAAAATCTTAAAAAAAAAAAAAAAAAAAAAAAAAAAAAAAAAAAAAAAAAAAAAAAAAAAAAAAAGAAAAGAAAAAGAAAAAAAAAGAAAGAAAGAAAATGAAAGCTATGAAATAAGGCAAAATGTTTGTTTTATTTTGGTTTTTGGTTTTTGGAGAGTTTTCTTTTTCTTTTTTTTTTTTTTTTTTTTGGGGGGTTTTTTTTTTGGGGGGGGGGGCCCTCAGAGAGACATAGAGACAGAAAGCGAGAAATCACCCCCCAGGGGAGATGGCCACGCTGCAATCCCTTCTCCTCCATTCTCCTCTCGGCATCTTGGGTACGCACACACATGCGCCCGGTGTGAGTTTTAAGCCACTGGGTCCAGGACGCGAACCACGGTTGACTACGTGGGAATCCAGCGACATAGCCATTATGCTAACTGCTGGTCCCAAGAGGTTTTTTTGTTTTTGTTTTTTGTGGATTTTTTTTTTGGTATAGGGTGTGTGCACTTGCCAGAAAGACAGAGAGACAGAGAGCAAGGAATCACCCCCCAGGGGGGATGGTCACACCTAAATCCCTTCTCCTCCATTCTCCTCCTGGGATCTTGGGCACGCATGCACACACGCCCTCCGTGAGTTTAAGCCACTGGGTCCAGGACTCGAACTGTGGTCGACTACACGGGAGTCCAGCGACAGAGCCATTATGCCAACTGCTGGTCCCATCAAGACAAAATGTTAAGATTACAGGATTGGCCTAGTCACTTTGGCATAGCAGTATCACAAGCGCCCTACAAGGCTAGAAACTATATGGCCAACTGTGGGCTCTGAATCCTGAGTTGGCTAAAATACCTGGCATACAAATGGGGGCCTAGGATCTCAAGGAACTGGAAAGCTGGGGAAAGAGAATTGCAGAGTGATAGGACCCTGTTGAGAGTTTCCCCTCTCTCTTTTTTCATGTGTGCACAAGCACTCTTTATCATTAAAAAATAAATAAATATGGGACCGGCAGGTGGTATGGTGGCTAAAGCACTGGACTCCCACATGGCCAACCGCGGTTAAAGTCCCAGACCTGGCATCTTGCTTTCTCACTTTCCATCTGTCTCTCTCTGGTGAGCACACATACCTTGTAGCAAATCTTAAAATAATAAGGGGCCGGCAGGTGGCATGGAGGTTAAGGGTGCTGGTCTCCCTCATGGTCAATTGGTGTTTGAGTCCCAGATCTGGTGGCTTGCTTGCTCACTTTTCCTCTCTCTCACTCTATCCTTTTCTGCTCAAATTAAAATAAAAATAAATAAAGTTAAATAAAAATAATTCTTAAAAAAAAACTGGCTTAGAGGATCAGCAGGTGGCATGGTGGTCAAGGCACTG